AGAAAATGCAAAGCATTCCATTTCTTCACATATTAAAAAAACACATTTCTTCACATAGATCTATTAAAAATATACTGTACATGAGACTGCAAATATGATCAATTTAAAATTTAAGTGATTTCAATTATGTAATTCAACTCTTTACCAAACATGCCTTGGCCAAAGAGGGCCATTCTTTCTCGTCTAGGATCATTTTCATGTTTATAAATAATAGGAATTATTTAACCTCTTCACCGGTTACACCGTTAACTCAAGCGGGGTAACTCAGCATAATCTCAATAACGTCTATCGGTCGCTGGGTTAAGGGTCGCCACTATCGGTCGCTGATTTGTGCTCATTATCGGAACCACGCGAACCGGAAGTAGAAATTTGAATTACCCGGTAGGAAATGACGTAACAGAAGACCATGGTCTCATCTCTATTTTTCGATAGTGTAAATACCTCATAATTGAGGATAATGGATGGCGATGAAGATCAGTTAAAATTTATCAATGAAAAAGGGGTCGATACAATCATTTTGTTGACTGTATCGATCTGCGGTCTCCTGTATTTTGCATATACAAGGTCAGTGTGTAATTGTGTTTTTTTTTTGTGTGCGTCTTGGTAGAATCTATCACATGTTTAAGGTGATTCCGCTTTGTCAGCCATATTTGTTTTAACAAAGTCCGTCCAAAGTGAAAGTAGGCCAAAATTCTTATAACAAAAAAGCTCAAATAGTCTTTAAAACATAGAACTGGAAGTGTACTTGCAAATGGCTCATCATATAACAATGTGAGCTTTTTTGTTATATGAATTTTGGCCTACTTTCACTTTGGACAGACTTTGTGAAAACAAATATGGCTGACAAAGCAGAATCACCTTAACATCATTCATTCATCGATCAATCTTCACAGTGAGATCCTATTGTATTTCTGGAAAACGTACTTTTTGTGTTCTGAACCTTGCTAAGTAGGCTAGTTGTTTATATGACAAATTTTGAATTCCCCATTATTTCTGAAGGAGAAAGATTGGGAGGGTGGTGCCCCTACTAATTGGGGCCCTCAATCCAATTTGAGGAAGTGGGTAACTAACCTTAGCAGGGCAAATTTCCGTGTATGGGAGATTTTTTTTCCAGTCAAATAATATCAAATTAGGCAAAGCCTATGAACGGGGAAGTCGGTAAAAAAAAACTTCCATTTTTCCGTTTTAAAGGTGTCATTCGATATTATATGTACCCGCTTCTGTTTTCACTTGGAACACTCGACGATTATTATTAATCCAATAAGTTGAGATTTGTTCCGTTATCGGAATACACCGCCATTTATTATTGAGTTACATTGTAAATGGCGGCGCCTAACTAGAACTGACACTGAAAATTTCACTGAAAGGTATAGAATTCTATATATTTTTTAATTTTTTTTTATTTGATTTTCTTTTAATTATTTAACTAATTAAATATCAGCATTTTTTTTATTCACACAATCTGAGTCATATTTTCATATAGAACAATTTTTAAAATTGACCATTCTGTCTTTTATGTTTTTTTGAGTTTTTTTCAAGTGACACAAGTTATGCCCTTTTTAGGCTTAGAAAATGTTCTGATATAGCTATTAATACTTAAATGTTTCTGAAACTAGAACAGATATTCACTTGAAACTATACAATATATGAAGGGTCACAAGTAAGCTCAGTATGCAAAGTTTTTCCACTTTTAATTACATTTTGACATAATGATGCTATTTTCTTAACTTCACTGCTTTTGTTTGTTTTAGTGCATTGGGAAAATGAAAGGTTATTTGTAACTGTTTCGAACATAATTTGACAATATATATTTATAATACTATTACCTGAACAATTTGTCGTTTTATGCTCCCCGAAAATTTTTTCGGGGGAGCATAAAGTTGTCAGGTTGTCTGTCTGTCCGCACTCACAGGAGAGTAATTATGTGGCTAGAGGGACAATAGGTAACTGTTCTTTCTCTTTGATGTCATTCATTCCGTAATGCTTTTATGTGGCTATTTTCTTTTGTGTGGCTAAAAACACAATAGAGAGAACAATAGAGTAGCCACATAATTACTGTCCTGTGAGAACGTCCGTCCGTCTGTCCATCCACTCTCACTGAAATGACGATGTGGGGTGAATATCCATGTTCAATCCGTACAGACTGTACTTGTGGGGAAAAAGGTTGCTTATGAGGTGCAAATACGTTGCTTATGGGGTTTTAGAGATCAAAGGAGGTCAAAGAAAAAACCCATAATGTCAACTCAGTAGGAACGTCCGTCCATCCGAGCAAACATTTTGGGTTAAGGGGCTATATAACAGTAAAGAGAACTAAAGAGAACAATACGTTCATTCCGTGATCAAAGGGTTTAGGGGCTAGTAGCCCTTAAGAAAACAAAGAAAATAACAAAGAAAATAGCCCCTAAAGCCAAAATGTTGGAACGTCCGTCCGTCCCGTCTGTCTGTCCGTCCGTTAGCAATTTGGTTTCCGGAGCAGAACCTAAGTACCAATTGGCCCACAATATTTAAACTTCATAAGATGATTGTCTATATTAGGAAGAAGACCCCTATTGATTTTGGGGTCACAAGGTCAAAGGTCAAGGTCACTATCGCCTTAAAACTGAAAACAGTTTCCGGAGCATAACTTAAGTTTCAATTGGCCCACAGTGTTCAAACTTCATAGGATGATTGTCCATATTAGGTAGAAGACCCCTATTGATTTTGGGGTCATAAGGTCAAAGGTCCGTATTGAACCTACACTCATTCAATATCATCTATTTATGACACAGGAAAAGATTTGAGGAGGAAGTATCTAAGTTGAGAAGTAAGATAAGCAGCAAAGATGAGGAGTTCAGTGAGAGAGCTGGCAGTCTGGAGAAGGAGCTGCAATCTTTAAGAGATCAGTTAGAGACACTACCGAAAGACAGGGATAAGGCACTCAAAGATAAAGAGGCATTGTTAGAAGAGGTAGTGTGATATTTGAAGGGAAAAAAATAGCATGAATGATGTATTTTCATGTAATTTTTTTATGTTTTTTTTTTTTTTTTTTTTTTGTATCTTTGTCAAAAGCTTTTGCAGGCATCAGGCATACCCAACACAAAGTGAGACAAAAACTGTTTTTCAACATCTCAAGTTGAAACTATGGGCCTTATTGATCTAAAGATTTGAGGGCATCATGTTTATGTTCAGTTTGTTTGTCGCTATTCAGAATAATTTCAGGTTAGTGAAATGGTAGATGTACATGGTTTTCATTTGGTGAAAAAAATGATCAATTCATGGTTAAACAAAAAGTAGAAATTTATGTAGTAAATCCATGTTAATCAAGTACTTGATTTTCATGTAGTTAAAAAAATTGATCAGTTTTATGTTAATGAAACAGTAGATGTACTTGATTTCATTAAGTAAAAGTTTTGATCAGTTCAAGGTTAATCAAATAGTATATGTACTTGATTTTCATGTAGTAAAAAATTTGATCAATTCTAGGTTTATCAAACAGTAGATATACTTGATTTCATTTAGTAAAAAAAGTATCAATTCTAAGTTACAGACGCAGGTCCAACAACAGCAGCTAGAGCTGGACGGTCACTCGAAAGCTCGCAGGAAGTTAGAACGCAAGAAAACTTACTTGCTCGAACGAGTGTCCGGCTTCGAACAACAGCAGGTACGTTATGGTGATATCTGAGATATCACTGATTTTATTTTTGTAATCATTTAAGTAGTTAACTGATGCAGCCATATTTCACTAACAGCATGAACTCTGCTGCCATTCAGATTTTAACATGTGGTTTGTTTTAATGCATTTCCATTGACAAAATATTAAACGTTGTTTTTAAATCACTGATTATTGCATTTTTGTGTCGCCTCTACGGAGTAATGGCGACATATAGGGATCACTTCTCCGTCATCTGCCTGTTGGTCTGTCTGTCTGTCCGAGCAAACATTTTGGGTTTAGGGGCTATATAACAGTAAAGAGAATAAAAGAGAACAATAGGTTCATTCCGTGATCAAAGGGTTTAGGGGCTAGTAGCCCTTAAGAAAACAAAGAAAATAACAAAGAAAATAGCCCCTAAAGCCAAAATGTTGGAACGTCCATCTGTCCGTCCGTCACAAAACTTGTCCTGACTACTCCTCATAAACTACTGGTGCAATTTCATCCAAACTTTACAGGAATGATCCGTACCAAGTCTAGTTGTGCATATTGTCAGCATTTTCCGGTTCAATGATTTTTGTCAGAGTTATGGCCCTTTAATAATTTTTATTTTTAAAGTTTGTCCGGACTACTTCTCTTATACCACTAATGCAATTTCAATGAAACTTTACAGGATTGATCTGTAGCTCAAGTCCTTGCGCAAATTGCACGGGTTTTCCGGTTGAATGATTTTTGGCCGAGTTATGGCCCTTTGATAAAAAGGTGTTTTTTTCTGTGTGTTGCCAGATACACAAAAGCTTGTCCGGACTACTCCTCATAAACTAATGGTGCAATTTTATCCAAACTTTACAGGAATGATCAGTGCCAAGTCTAGTTGTGCACTGTCCGTCTGTCTGTCCATCTGTCACAAAACTTGTCCCAACATGAAATTGGCCATCATGAGGCAACACATGTGATCACTGATCGCTCTTGTGTAATTTTGTTGACACATTCGTCAAAAGAGATGCACACAAGCCTGTACCCATATGATCATAGGACTTTGATGTTGGAAATCTTACAAATAATTTAAGGGCATGTACAAAATCAAAGTTTGGCTGGTCTAGTATAAAAATTTAGCTGGGTACGGGGTAAAAGCAAATTGTATTAAACAATAATAAGAGTGATAATGTTGGATGGATGAATAGGGGAGCCATGGAGCTCAGACGAATTAAATAATATGCACCTTTATAAAACATACAATGTTTCCTTTTAATTTTATTCAGAAATACATATACGTGTTAGAGGTATTTTTCTTTTCTAATATTATATAAAGTACTGTTTGATATCAAAACTGCATGTACATAAAATACTACCAAAAAATATATTATTCTGGTCATTTATTGATGAAAATAATGAAATGATATTCTTCATGAAAATTATTTACTTTTTAGCTCACCAGAGCCGAAGGCTCAGGGTGAGCTATTAGTATCAAAGGGGGATACTCTGGCGTTCGTCGTCATGCGTCAACAATCGTCTTCTCTGAAACTGCTGGGCACATTTACCTAAAATTTGGTCTGTAGCATCCTTGTGACAGTCACACTTAAATTTGCTCATGTCATTTCAATTGGCCCCTTTTAGGGGTCAACAGAGCTAAAAATAGAAAAATCTTTAGACATCTTGGGTAGTCTTTTATCAAATTTGCTCATATTAATTTGATTGGCCCCTTTTAGGGGTCTCTGGGGCTAAAAATAGGAAAACCTTTAGACATCTTCTTCTACAGAACTTATTGATATATGATCACCAAACTTTGTCTGTAGCATTCTTGGGTAATCTTTTATCAAGTTTGCTCATATGAATTTGATTGGCCCCTTTTAGGGACCGCTATAGCTAAAAATAGAAATACCTTTAAATGTCTGCTTCTACAGAACTAATTAATGGATGATCACCAAACTTTGTCTGTAGTATTCTTGAGTAGTCTTTTATCAAGTTTGCTCATATTAATTTTATTTGCCCCTTGTAGGGGTCGCTAAAGCTAAAAAAAAGAAATACCTTTAAATGTTCTCTTCTACAGCACTAATTGGTGGATGATCACCATTCTTTGTCTGTAGCATTCTTAGGTAATCTTTTATCAAGTGTGCTCATATTAATTTGATTGGCCCCTTCTAGGGGCCGCTAAAGCTAAAAATAGAAATACCTTTAAAACATCTCCTTCTACAGAACTAATCAATGGATGATCACCAAACTTTGTCTGTAGTCTTTTATCAAGTGTGCTCATATTAATTTGATTGGCCCCTTTTAGGGTCAGCTAAAGCTAAAAAAGAAATACCTTTAAACATCTCCTTCTACAGAACTAATCGATGGATGATCACCAAACTTTGTCTGTAGCATTCTTAGGAAGTCTTTTATCAAGTTTGCTCTTATTTATTTGATTGGCCCTGTTTAAGCTAAATCTTAAATGCCCCAGGTCATGGCATTTCTTCAAATTATAGTTTAAAGATATTCATAATTCTATGCTCAAATTTAATATTAGAAAATATTGACAATGGATACACAGTCTCTTTATAAATATAAAATAAACATGTTTTGACTTCACACAAAGTAGATATGTTATGTTTTAAACTCTTCACACTATAGGTGGTCACAGTATAAATATAATGATAGTGTCATTAAAAAAACTTTTTTTTATGCCCCGGGGCATATAGTAATTGAACTGTCCGTCCGTTCGTCTGTCCGTACGAGGTTAACCTAGCATGGCAAGTTGTTTTTTTCTTGAGTTCTACCTGTACCAATGGCTTCTTAGTTTACACACTTACTTATCAATACAAAGTACATGAACTGGTCAAGTTACATAACTATGGCTTCCATATTTACCAAGTTATTGCCCTTTTCAGCACTTAGAAAATGAATAATGGTTAACCTAAAACGGCAAATTTGAAATATCTTAAGTTTTATCTATACTAATGGCTTCATAATTTCCACACTTACTTATCTATACAAAGTACATGATATATTTAAGTTATATAACTGTGTCATCCATATTTCCCAGCTATTTCCCTTTTTTCACTTTGAAAAATAGGCCTTGTTCGGTTAACCTATTCCGGCAAGTTGGATTTATCGTAAATTTCTTTAAATTGCTTAATTTATTAAATGATATCTTGCATATTTGGTAGGTGGATACCTTTAATGGTCCTCTAATTTTTTGTGGAGTAAGTGGTCTCTAGGGTCAAGGTCAAGGTCACTGGTTTAGAAAATAAATTTAAACATTTTTGCTCATACAGCCTTTATTTTTTTGGTTGATGTCTTTCATGTTTAATACAAACATGCCAAGGGAGGTCCTCCTTCTTTAGGTATAGTAAGGGGTCATTTGGGTCAAGGTCAATGTTACCAATATCAAGGTCACCAATGTTAAAAATAGATTGTTACATTTTTACAGGTGTATTAACCTTATTCTATAGACAGATGTCATTTATAATTGATAGGAGCATAAAATTTGATGGAGTTAGTGTTCAGTTGGGTCAAGGTCACCAGTGCTAAAAATAGATTTTTACACTTTTGCTCATACAGCCTTTATTTGTTGACAGATATATTTCATATTTGGTAGGAATATAACTTGCATGGTATTCATCCTTTTGATTAGGGTAGGGATCAGTGGGTCAAGGTCACTTGTGCTAATAAAAATAGATCTTTACAATTTTGCCCATACAGGCTTTATTTATTGACAGGTGTATGTCATATTTGATAGGAAGATAACTTGCATGGTATTCTTCCTTTTGATTGAGTTGGGGATCAGTGTGTCAAGGTCACTAGTGCTAAAAATAGATTTTTACACTTTTGCCCATACAGCCTTTATTTATTGACAGATATAATTCATATTTGGTAGGAAGATAACTTGCATGTTATTCTTACTTTTGATGGAGTTAGGGGTCAGTTGGGTCAAGGTCACAAGTGCTAAAAATAGATTTTTACACTTTTGCCCATACAGCCTTTATTTATTGACAGATTTATTTCATATTTGGTTGGAAGATAACTTGTATGGTATTCTTCCTTTGGAGGGAGTTAGGGGTCAGTTTGGTCAAGGTCATCAATGCTCAAAATAGATTTTAACATTTTTGCCCATACAGCCTTTATTTATTGACAGGTGTATTTCATATTTGGTAGGAAGATAACTTGCATGATATTCTATAGGTGTCAGTGGTTCAAGGTCAAGGGTGCCAAGTATAGATTTCTTACATTTATATATATTTGATAAAGTTAAATATTTATCACTTCACAAGTCATAGCAAAGACTTGGCAACTTATATATTTCACAATTACAAAATGCCATGACTCTGTCAAGCTATATAATTTGTGTTTACAATTTTTTGGCAATGTTTTTGTCCATAACTGAGTGAATGGGTTAACATTTTTTGAAATATTGCTACTGACAAGAATCGGATCCGGAAGCATTTGTGTTTAACAAACACGTTCTTGTTTCTTGATATTTGGATATTTAAATAAAATCACAGAAACGGAGAAAGGGGAAACATTTTCTTGAGTCCTGCTACAATTTTCCTTATCTACTATGTTCACCTCATTATTTTTGTTGTTGTTATAGGAGGTTCAGATTGGAAAGCAAGTAGACACGGGGGTTACACAGACAATAGACCCTGCATTGTGTAGTACTGAGGTTCAAACTGATTTGGTAGAGAGAAATGTGAAGGAAGTCCAAACAGATTGCAGACAGGAAGATACAAAAAATGTACAAAATGCTGTTACTCAAACAAATGAAGGCATGATGGTAAAGACCAGTACCTAAATAGCTATAAATAGTTTTAGAAAGATGAACTTAACCTTATCATTGCAATTGCATAGGATACACTGAAAAATTTTAACAATGGGAATTGTCATTAATTTCATTAAAATGGATTTATTTCAAGTAAAAACGATAAGAAATAATAAGTTATAAGAATTAATAATCTGTCACAAATGATAAATACATTGAATAAGGGGTATTTTTTTTTTGCTGTGATTAGTAGTTATCAAGCTTTTGTACAATATCTGTTAACTTTCAAGGAACAGTTTCTTTACTTTTCCATTTTTTTTCCAGGAATATGGAACATCTGTTGACATTGGTGTCAGAGAGCAAAGAACTGGTGTGGAAAAAGAACATAACGATACAGCAGTAAAGGAGCCTTGCCAAGAAACTTATAATGAGGAAGATGAGGCAATGGAACGTAATAAAGCTATTCAAGAGACAAGATCAATTGAATTTATGGACATGAACATAGGAAACGATGATTGTGCTGTTCACACAGACAAGTTTGAGAATGATACTAATACGGAAATACATTTTTCCAATAAAATTGAAGCAATTTCCAAGGACGAATCTTTTGAACTAAATCGGGAAGTTTCTGAAATGCCCTCAAGTTTGGCAAAGTCATATGTCAGATCAGTACCAGCAAATGATGCTAATAAACAGTTCAAGACTTCACTAAATGCAAAGAGCAAAACCAGTTATCCCCCAGAAGGAACTACAGGTTTAAACGCATCAGATTTACAAGTATCTGCCCCATCTGTAGCAAGGCAGTCATTAGTAACAGGTATTTATTTCTTACAGAATTCCAATTGGTTTTCAAAACATTAACATTAACAATACATATTGGTCCTCCTTTAGCAAGTATCAGTTAGGAGGACCTAGAGTCATAAGATTGACAGAACAGTGGCGCGGTGGGGGCACCCATGCCAATGGACACATTTCTAGTTTTAAATTATATTTCTGTGTATAAATTATGGCATCTGTGTATAAATAATGGCATTTAAAAAGATCAGATAAAACATAATTTATTAAAGTTTGAATGTGAATAAAGCTTTTAGCTTATTTGAATTACTCTTTGGATCTGCTTTCTGAAGGTACCCTTAACTATTATGTTAGTGTCTTGATAAGGAGACAATATTCTTTGCTCTATTTTAGGTTAATTTTGTAGAAGTTTCACTTTATGATTTTATAATCAGTAAGAGAGAGAAACATAGACATGTTGTATGGTAAGTTATTAATCATGTCAGCAATATTAGGGCCATCATGGCCCTCTTGTTTAAAAGTTTTATTGAATAATCTTACCAGTGAGATAGGGAAAAGGAATGTATTGTGTTATGATTAAGTAGTTTGAAATACTTTTTGGTTGTTTACAGCTCCGATTGACAAAGATGCAGATGGAAAAGCTAAGATAGAGTATAAAACTAAAAGTAAAAAGTAAGTTTATGATAATTAATTCCCTCATACCTTAGTAAGTTCAAAACTAATCACAAAAACAATGAATTCATTATCTATGGAAGATGTCAATGCAACTTTATGGAAGGTTGGTAGTTCCTTAAGTAATATATGGTTGAGGATCTCTGGTCTTTGTCTACCAGAAGTAGAGCATTATAGTTGTCTTGTTCCTCTTGTATAAATTGATCCAACTCTGTTTGTGCTTCCTAAGATCAAAATTGCCCCAACCCTGGGGATTTATTGCAGGGCATAGAATTTTAGCATGTATCATCACTTTGTAAAATTAGAATTATTATTTTTGTACAAATAATAATCATAAGATGGATGTTTCTGTGAGCATTGATGCTATAAATATAAAGGGAGGTTATAAATGACAAGAAAATTATTTTTAAGCATAGCATTTTGATTAGTGTTAGGCATAACGTTTTGTGCTTTAGAATTTCTGGCATAATATTATTTAATGTTTCTTTGAATATTTATTATTTCAAAACCAACATTATTGTTGTTTTCAGTAAGTATATAATTATACTTCCTGACAATTGTAGGAAGATCTTTAAGGAGATGTTTGGGGTTTGTACTCCACAGAAAAAGTTGTAATATAGTTTTTTTGATCCCGTGACATTTGTCCTTTTTAACTAATTAATCATTGGCAGGCTGTTCTTAAGCCCTGGAATAACAAAGTTAACACTTTATAAATAAAAAATCCAGTTTATTCTTTAATGTCCAATTTTATATGATCACATAAATAACGTTTGACAACATTATAAAATAAATAATTATAAGAATACATTATTTGAATGAACAATAGTTTTGATCTTGTAATTAACAAATATGGGGAAATTAGTTTGTTAAACTTCTCACTTTGTGTAAGAGGTACCATTTTAACAATTCAAATAATTATAATATTACTATAACATTGTACCTAACAAATAATATGAATTTACCTTTTTAGAATAGATTAAAAAAAAAAACACTATTTTTAAGTAAATTGTAACTATTTTAAAGTTACCAAAATAAAGCTATTATATTTGAAATCTACATTTTAAAACAAAGATTTTTATATAAAATATGAAATATCTGTTTTCAAATAATGATTATGACGGAAACTATCACAATCAATCATAATGTAAAAATATGGATCATAATAATATAGCATAATAACAATCTAATCATGTGACCAGAGCAAAGTTTTTTGGCATGCATCAATATAGATCTTAAAATTGATAGCTGAAATAAAACATGTTTGGGACAAATTTTTTAAATAGATATCCCCTCTGTTTAAAAATTATTTTTGATTACAGTAAAATGCCACCTAAAGACCAGTCACCACGCCTCAAATAGGACCACGCCGCTATTACGGGCACTTTTTAAAAGTACAAAATATTTGCCTTCTTTATTCATTGAGAAAAATGACCAGTATACCAACCACGTCTCTAATCCGGCATAACGACCACTTCTGTCAGACATTTGTGTGTATTTCTTATCAAAACATTAACCTGTATTACGACCATGCAACATAATGGCCAGAGACATCACTTGGTGTTTATTGCCCCCAATTAATTGTCGTAATCTTCCCTCTGGCGTAAACAAATACACCGGGTCAAATGAGGTCATTAATATATATCGATTGATTAGACGCTTGCTTTACGATGTATCTTTAGCATTCAAGCGTCAACATGATCAGTTTAAACCACTTCTGGCCAATTAATCTAAGCTACTGTGGTGTGAGAAACGATTAATTTGTCGGCGTAATTAGGATGTAATAAACAAGTAAATAGCATTTAAAATTGTTTGTTGTGCATCACAATTTATAGCAAGTATGGTAAAAAAAGCTAATTACAAACAAATTATCAGTTCATGTGTGCTTTATGTCGATATGTAATTAATGTATAAATCATAATGAGAGTCATAACTATATTAATACCTCATATTTTTCTTCTAAAGGGGAAATTTAAATTTATATTTTCTTTATATTAATGATGTATCATATTATCATGCATTCAAAATGATTTTTGTTTAAAAAAATGTGTTTCTTTTTACTCATTTAATTAAGTAAATGTACCTCGTGCATAAAACAATTCAAGGTATACATTAATTTAAGTTGGACTTCGTCCGCTGTTAAAGTGACTTATTCACTATTAAGACCAGTTCACTATTAAGACCACTTTGAGTCAGTCCCGTTAGTGGTCTTAATAGAGAAAATTTACTGTACTTTAAATTTTAATTACTTAAAACAAATTTGCATTCGGGTGTATATTGCCATGGGAAGACGGACAAAACCCCACCAGTTAAAACCCCACCACTTAAAATTTTATAGAGTGGACAAAACCCCATCACTTAATTTTATAGAGTGGACAAAACCCCACCACTAAATTTTACAGAGTGGACAAAACCCCACCACTTCACATCCAAATCCCTAAAGAACAAAGCATGATTATTATAGCATATAGCATTTATATGGTGTCCTACATTCATTGCCATGCTGTGCTCTTGTCGTATTATAAAAAATACTGTATTTTTAATGAGAATATTAATGAATAATATTGCCATTTTTCTTAAAGTTGTATATGCTGATATATAGAGGATATTAAATGTGTGTAGATTCAATACTGAATTTATTGAACAAGTTGAAAAAATTTATCATGTGAGCTTTTGGCCAGCATAATATTTATTCAACAAGTTCAATAAATCTATTAATGAAACTAAACAAATATAGTATTTTATTTATCACATACCCAAAGTAAAAAATGTTTTAAGTGAAAAGAAACATTTTTCTTTGACAACCCTATGCTAACATTTGGCAAGACTTTACGCTATGTTTGACGTCACATCAAATATATACTTGGCAGTGCAATACCAGAGATGCTAAAGTGGCAGTGGTTTCTTCATATATCCTCTTGCTTTTTATCTTGTATTTTCTCCATTATTTCCAGACAAATACATTGGGACGGCTCAAACGCTAATGTTATAGCTCAACCGAAATCTGACCTTGACATGAAGGTTAAGGTCGATGCATGTTTGGAGCTGATTGATTATCTGAAATTAGAGAAGCCTCCTTCTGGTGTTGTATTGGATAAATCTAAAGTGAGTGGCAGAATTTCTTTTCTTTTTCTAATATTTTTCAAAAAGAAAAAAGAAACCTTTAAAAGGGATATAAATGAATAAATCCATACAATTTTTAGCTCACCTTGCACATAGTGCAGGTGAACTTTTAGGATGGCCAATCATTTGCGTCCGGCATCCGTCCACATTTTATTCAAACGACATCTTCTATAATACCACTTGGCCAATATGAATGAACTTGGCAGGAATACTCTCAGTATGAAGCTCTATCAAGATTGTTCAAAGAATGCCATTCAATGCTAAACTCTGGTTGCTATGGCAACTAAAAGAAAAAACTTAAAAGTTCTTATACTTCAAAATGGAAAGGGCTAGAGCTTAGATATTTCTCACAAGGCATTAGCATGTTGGTTTCTACAAAGTATATTCAAATTATGGTCTAGAGTTGAAAATTGGTCTCTGTTTTGGGGGTTAAAGGGTTTTTAGTTGGGACGTAGTCCCAACTAGTGTATTTACAAACCCGAAATTTCCAACCATACAGGGTAACGCCCACTGCAGTGACGTTTCATCACCACTATATGTGCTATATTGTATTCTTACATTTTTCAAGGAAGTTGAATTCATCGTGATCATCTGACCATGACAGACGCATAACCGCCGCGAGTGAAAAATAGTGCTCTGTATTTCTGAAAATTTTGATTTATTGCGCATAGAAGAGGAGATAAGAAATTTATTTTTTGAAAATTGTGTGCAATTTAGCTTGATTCTTCATACACACAAATGACAAACAAGCATTATTGTCATTTTTAGCTCGACTATTCGATAACAATAAGTAGAGCTATTGTAGTCATCCGAGCGTCGGCGTCTGCATCGGCGTCGGCGTAACCACTTATGTTAAAGTTTTTGTAATAGTTATTATGCCCCCGCCATGTAATGGCCGGGGCATATAGTGTTACCCTGTTCCGTCCTTCCGTCATTCCGTCATTCCGTCCTTCCGTCATTCCGTCCTTCCGTCATTCTGTCATTCCGTCATCATCAGTTTCCGTTCATTATCTTAGTAACGGTTGCACATATTCAACTCAAATTTGGCATATGGATATGTCATGAGAAAATACAGGTCAAGTTCGAATTTGGTCATGGTTCGATGATTTTTGGCAGAGTTATGCCCCTTTTACTCTTTGAAAATAATATGAAATTTTCAGTTTCCGTTCATTATCTCCCCAACGGTACAACACATTCAAATCAAATTTGACATATGGATATGTCATGAGAAATACAGGTCAAGTTCGAATTTGGTCATGGTTCGATGATTTTTGGCAGAGTTATGCCCCCTTTTACTTTGAAAATAATATGAAATTTTCAGTTTCCGTTCATTATCTCCCCAACTGTACAACACATTCAAATCAAATTTGACATATGGATATGTCATGAGAAAATACAGGTCAAGTTTGAATTTGGTCATGGTTCGATGATTTTTGGCAGAGTTATGCCCCTTTTATTTTGAAAATAATATGAAATTTTCAGTTTCCGTTCATTATCTTCCCAACGGTACAACACATTCAAATCAAATTTGACATATGGATATGTCATGAGAAAATACAGGTCAAGTTCGAATTTGGTCATAGTTCGATGATTTTGGCAGAGTTATGCCCCTTTTACTTTGAAAATAATATGAAATTTTCAGTTTCCGTTCATTATCTCCCCAACGGTACAACACATTCAAATCAAATTTGACATATGGATATGTCATGAGAAAATACAGGTCAAGTTCGAATTTGGTCATGGTTCGATGATTTTTGGCAGAGTTATGCCCCTTTTACTTTGAAAATAATATGAAATTTTCAGTTTCCGTTCATTATCTCCCCAACGGTACAACACATTCAACTCAAATTTGACATATGGATATGTCATGAGAAAATACAGGTCAAGTTTGAATTTGGTCATGGTTCGATGATTTTTGGCAGAGTTATGCTCCTTTTACTTTGAAAATAATATGAAATTTTCAGTTTCTGTTTATTATCTCCCCAACAGTACAACACATTCAACTCAAATTTCACATATGGATATGTTTTTGGAATGCCCAGGCCAAGTTCGAATTTGGTCATGGTTCAATGATTTTTGGCAGAGTAATGCCCCTTTCACATTGAAAATAATATGAAATTTACAGTTTCTGTTCATTATCTACCCAACAGTGTTACATATTCAACTCAAATTTGATATATGGATATGTCAAAGGAATGGGCAGGTCAAGTTGGAATTTGGTCATGGTTCGATGATTTTTTGGCAGAGTTATGTCCCTTTCACTTTGAAAATAATATAGATACATCTTAGGAATAAGCAGTTTAAGTTTGAATTTGATCATGGTTCAATGATTTTGGACAAACTTATCTTTCTTGAATATTGGAAAAAATTTGAACTTTCAGTTTCAGCACTCATACTTTTGTGGAAATGTATGTAGCCATTATTTTGGCTACAAATATGAAATATGCTATTTTCAAAAGGTTAAGACTGAATAATTTCAGTGCCTTGAACATTGTATGAAAATGGTTTGTGTAAACGTTGAAAAGTTTTAAGGGCTTTGAACTTGAAATAAAAACAATAATTTGTGCAAACAAATTTGGAACTAAATATTATAACATCTGAAATTTTGGCTGCATGCGGGGGCATCCGTGGCATGATGACACATTTCTAGTTCAAATATTTTCAAAGTCCATTGACATATGGCTTTGAAACTTTGCACACTTGTTCACCATCATGACCCCAACCTGTAGACAGGAGGAGGTAACTCTATCAAGCATTTTGACAGAATTATGCCCCTTTTTCGACTTAGAATTTACGTTAAAGTTTTTGTAATAGTTCAAATATTTTCAAAGTCCAAAGACATATGGCTTTGAAACTTTGCACACTTGTTCAACATCATGACCCCAACCTGTAAAGAGAAGGAGGTAACTCTATCAAGCATTTTGACAGAATTATGCCCCTTTTTATCCCCCGCCGAAAATTTTCGGCGGAGGATATAGAAATAGTCTCCGTCCGTCCGTTCGACCTTCCGTCCTTAAGTCCGTCCGTCCTTCCGTCCGACATTTTTGTCTGGAGCAAATCTCTAAAAGTATTTGAGTTATCAACTTGAAACTTCATAGGTGGATAGACCTCATTGAGGAGGAGTGCAGTGCACAAGAATGATAACTCTACCTTGCATGATTTTTGAGTTATTGCCCTTTGTTATTTTTCAAAATTGATTTTTGTCCAGAGCATAACTCCAAAAGCCTATGAGATATTAACATGAAACTTCATAGGTGCATAGATCTCACTCAGGAGGTGTGCATTGCACAAGAATGATAACTCTACCTTTCATAATTTTTGAGTTATTGCCCTTTGTTATTTTTCATACCTAATTTTTCACCTGAGTGGAGCATAAGTCAAAAAGGGTTTGAGATATCAACATGAAATGTCATAGCTGGATAGATCTTATTGAGGAGGAATGTTGTGCGCAAGAATGATAACTCTTTCCTATACAATTTTTGAGTTATTGCCCTTTGTTTTTTTCATGCTATTTTGTCCAGAGCTTATCTCAAAAAGTATTTGAGGTATCAACTTGAAACTTCAAAGGTGGATGGATCTCATTGAGGAGGAGTGCAGTGCTTAAGAAAGATAACTCTACCCTGCATTATTTTTGAGTCATTGCCCTTTGTTATTTTTCAAAATTAATTTTTGTCCAGAGCATAAATCAAAAAGGCCTTTGAGATATCAAAATGAAACTTCATAGGTGCATAGATCTCACTCAGGAGGTGTGCAGTGCACAAGAATGATAACTCTACCTTTCATAATTTTAGAGTTATTGCCCTTTGTTATTTTTCATACCTAATTTTTCACCGGAGTGGAGCATAACTCAAAAGTGTTTGAGATGTCAACATGAAATGTCATAGGTGGATAGATTTTATTGAGGAGGAATGCTGTGCACAAGAATGATAACTCTTCCCTGTACAATTTTTGAGTTATTGCCCTTTGTTCTTTTTCATACTATTTTGTCTGGAGCTTATCTCAAAAAGTATTTGAGGTATCAACTTGAAACTTCATAGGTGGATGGATCTCATTGAGGAAGAGTGCAGTGCACAAGAATGATAACTCTACCCTGCATAATTTTTGAGTTATTGCCCTTTGTTATTTTTCAAAATTAATTTTTGTCCAGAGCATAACTCAAAATGCCTTAGAGATATCATTATGAAACTTCATAGATGCATAGATCTAACTCAGGAGGTGTGCAGTGCACAAGAATGATAACTCTACCTTTTATAATTTTTGAGTTATTGCCCTTTATTATTTTTCATACTTAATTTTTCAATTCAATTTTTTTCTCAAAAAGTATTTGAGGTATCAACTTGAAACTTCATAGGTGGATAGATTTTACTGAGGAGGGATGCAGCACACAAGAATGATAACCTACCCTGCATTATTTTTTAGTTATTGCCCTTTGTTATTTTCAGCCATCAGTATTCACATAGGTTTCAAATCTGTAATCACTATAGCCATCAGTTTTCATTATCAAAAGACCTCTTAAAATGGAATTATTCTGCTGTACTACATATACATTCTTCCAATAAGCAAACACATTCGGCGGGGGATGGCCATGTTGACATGGCTCTTGTTTGAATTAAGATTGTTTGATATATATATAACCTGTTTCTGTATAATCAAAGTTTGGGGGGGTATTTAGGAGTCACCCGGTGGTCGGTTGGTTGGTCGGTCTGTCGGTCAGTCCAGACGTCTGTTGCATTTTCCTTGTCTGGAGCATAACTTGAAAACTAATGGTTGGAATTCAATATAACTACATACAATGGTCAAGCACATTGAGAGGAAGTGCAGTGCACAAGAACCATAACTCTATCTTGACTAATTACAGAGTTAATGCCCTTTGTTACTTTTCCTTGTCCGGGGCATAACTTGAAAATACTGGTTGGAATTAAAAACAACTTCATACAATTGTCAAACACAATAAGGGGAAGTGCAGTGCACAAGAACCATAA